GTGTGTGTGTGTGTGTGTGGGTGTGTGTGTGTGTGTGTGTGTGTGTGTGTGTGTGTGTGTGTGGGTGTGTGTGTGTGTGTGTGTGGGTGTGGGTGTGTGTGGGTGTGTGTGTGTGTAATGAGTCGAGGAGGATGAAACAGAAAAACAGCTGCAGAGGAAGACAAGATGAAAGAAGAAGAGCTCAGTGTGAAAGACCATTTTCTGTTTTGTCTTGTTTTGAAAGAACGAAAGGAGAAAGGAAGGAAAACACAGATGTGAAGGTGAAGAAGATGAAGAGAGAGAAGGAGGGAGGAGGTGAAAGACATGAAAGGAAAAGTCAGTAAAGAAAGCAGATGATAAAAAAGAGGGCGGGAAGCTGAAGATGAAAAGAGTGAGATGAAGAAGAGGAGGAGGAGGAGATGAAGAAGAGGAGGAGGACATGAAGGAGAAAGTGATAAAAAGAGGAGGAGAAGCTGTTTTACTACCTGAGTGTAAATATTTGAAATTCTTTGTCTGAATGTTTGAGGCTGTTTGTGATTGGCTGAGGGACTCCCCGCTGTCATGGCGACAAGAGGAAGCATGACACACAAACACACACACACACACAGAAAGAGTGTGTGTGTGTGTGAGTGTGAGTGTGAGTGTGTGTGTGTGTGTGTGTGTGTGAGTGTGTGTGTGTGTGCGGTGTGTGAGTGTGTGTGTGTGTGTGTGTGTGTGTGTGTGTGGTTGAGAGTGTGCTGTGTTGTGTTGAGAGTGTGGGTGTGGGTGTGTGTATGTGTGTGAGTGTGTGTGTGGTGAGTAGACGTATTGTAAAATCCATCATTTTATCTCAAGATAATGGACGTTGAGAGACTCAGAAAAAACAGACAGGTGAACAGAGAGTACATATCACATGCAGTTTGTATTACAGATGATTACAGAAACACACCTCGACAGTGATGGTATTCAGGAACAGGCAAGAAATGGAGGCTTAAGTTCCATGATTTCTAACAAGGAAAAAACAAGTAAGAGGTTGTCTCCTATAAACAAAATAGATTAAGGCACGCTCCAAAAGAATTCCTCCTGGCTTCAGTTCCACATTTTCCCTTCCCTCAATGTGTGTGTGTGTTTTTTGTTTGGCTTTGTGTCGCATGATTGTGTCAGCATGTTGTATGCTGTGTGAGTCATGGGTGGTGGGTGGGATGGGGGCAGTGAGACACGAAATGAAGTGTGTGTGGAGTGTGTGTGTGTGTGTGTGTACCTGTGAGGGCCAGGATGAGCAGCAGCAGTCCGGCCAGGAGGCTCACAGTGGGGATGACGATGTAGAGGAGAAGTCGAAGGTGATTGGTTGATCCCAGCTTGTGAGGACACGCCTCCCCGCCCATCACCGTGTCAGGTGGTCGAGTCTGAGGACAGAGACGGTTCATCATGTGACCTCAGAACCACAGAGGAGAGACGGAGGCTGGGAAACTCCACACTGCCCCTTAAGTCCACATTAAGCCCCTCCCCCACCCCAGGGTTATTTTTACTGTGGCGGTGGTGGTGGGGGTATATGGGGGGGTATGTGTGGGGGTGACCCGGGTGTTTCTGTCCTCTCAGAGTTTCCGCTGTACATGTCAAAGTTATTTTTGAAGTGATATGACGACGAGCCGACACTTGACACCACCCTGCTCTAAATACTGCTCGCTCCACCGCCCTCTCTCTCCCTCTCTGGAGCTCCCTGTTCAATATATTGATTGGGGGGTATGGGGGGGTATGTGGGGGGGTGACCCGGGTGTTTCTGTCCTCTCAGAGTTTCCGCTGTACATGTCAAAGTTATTTTTGAAGTGATATGACGACGAGCCGACACTCGACACCACCCTGCTCTAAATACTGCTCGCTCCACCGCCCTCTCTCTCCCTCTCTGGAGCTCCCTGTTCAATATATTGATTGATTGATTTCCACGACCTCAACATACTGACTCATCATGACTCTGTACATCAATCCTACAGTTATTATCATTATCAATAATTAATATCTATTGATCGTCAGACATTTAACAACATTTACGTTATTAGTTTTATTGATCACATGATTAATGGAGAAAATAATCAGCAGTCATTGATCATGAAAATAATCATTTGTTTTTTTCACTTTTTGTTTCTTTTCCGTTTAACAAACCTTTATTTTCTAAATTAAAGTCATTAAACATGTCTTACATCAAGACTTTTATTTTGAAGGACAGATGACACGAGGGATGGAAGCTGAGAAAAGAAGGTGAAACTATGATTTTTACATGTTTTCATACTGTGACATTTCTGGATTCATTCAATAAGAAAATTGCAGCAAACTGAGAAACCACCAGAGAACACAACTGATCACTCGATCAATAAATCATATCAGCTCTACTTCTGTTGTCCAGGATTTGATGTTTTATTACAAACTGGATATTTTTTCTTTCTGTATCTTTGGTCGGACAGAGTGAAGCAGATGAAGACGTCACCTCTGGAACATTAGACAGATGTTTTCATTGTTGTCTGACATTTTATAGTGAAAATAATTCAAGTGGAAATAACGACCATCAGCAGCGTTTCTCTGTGACGAGTTAATGATCGGATCATCTTCTAATCACTGAGGCTGGAAACACGAGGACACGCCCAGCAGCTGGGCTTCCAGTGAATGATCATCAGCTTCATTAAGACTTCAGGCGGGACTTTAGGGTTAAAGCTTGAATATTAATATTAATAATGTAATAATTACCTCGTACCTGTCTCACACTGGTAACGTCTGTGATTCTTCTTCAGTCAGAGAAGACAAACACTTTTCGAGCCGAGAACTAGTCAAATAAAAGATTCCAGCTGCTCAGACCTGAATATTTTCTGCTTTTCATCGTCTTTTAAGAAACTGAACATCTTTCTTTGTTTGGACACGAGACATTTCATTTAAAAAAAAAAGATGATCAATCAAATAAATAATCACCAGCTTATTCAGTTATGAAACGAGTTCCAGCTCCACAACAGAAACAAGGAAATCACTCATTAAATACGTTAATGTCCACAAAGTTATTAATTAGTAGTTTGACTGTTTTCTGATTTATCTCTTAATTATGACACAGAGACAACAGCAGCTCCATCCAGAGGAGGACAGAGACAGTAGAGACAGAGACAGTAGAGACAGAGACACAGTAAAGACAGAGACAGTAGAGACAGGAGTAAAGACAGAGACACGGACAGAGGAGACAGAGGAGACAGAGACAGGGACAGTAGAGACAGAGACACAGTAAAGACAGAGACAGAGACAGTAGAGACAGGGACAGAGACAGTAGAGACAGGGACAGTAAAGACAGAGACAGTAGAGACAGAGACAGAGACAGTAAAGACAGAGACAGAGGAGAGTGAGAGGACAGAGACAGTAGAGACAGAGACACAGTAAAGACAGAGACAGTAGAGACAGAGACAGTAGAGACAGGAGTAAAGACAGGGACAGAGACACGGACAGAGGAGACAGAGGAAACAGCAGTAAGTCAAGGGCAGCAGCAGACATCAGGCTGGAGCCTGTCAGACAGACGTCAGGGCGCAGAGACACAGAGACACTCAGAGACTCACCGTCGCAGTTCCCGCTCCGCTGAAGGTGACACGCGGGCAGGTCTCCCGCCGCGCGGACAACATGACCTGCTGCTGCCCGCCGCTGAGCGCGAGACCATCCCTCTGTCTGCTGCCCGCGAGCTGCTCCGGTAACTAACCGAGAGCGAGACACGCTGGCTCCGCCCCCCTCTCTCTCCACGTTCACTGCTGCTGTCGCTCTACCTCTCCCTCTCTCTCTCCCTTTCTCACACACAGAGAGCTCAGGTTTTCTGCACGTGATGAAGCCATAACATGGGATTACACACACACACACACACAAACAGACACACTCACACACACACTCACACACACACACACACACACACATATACTCACACATACATACACACACTCATACACACACACACACACACTCAAACACACTCACACACACATACAGATACACACACACTCACACACACACACACACATATACTCACACATACAGACACACACTCACACACATACAGATACACACACACACACACACACACACATTCACACAATACACACAAACCACACACACAACACACACTCACACACATACACCACTCACAAACAACACATATACACACACACCACACACGTCCGTTTTAATTAAAGTTTGTGTAGAGTGTGTGATTTAACAGGATGTGTGGTTTGGGATTTAGACGCACAAGCACGAGGCTCAGTCCCGGCATGCACTTGACCGTTAGGAGAGAGAGAGAGTTGGTGGTTGTGATCATTGTGTGTGTGAGTGTGTGAGTGTGTGTGTGTGTCTGTATGTGTGTGTGAGTGTGTGTGTGTGAGTGTATGTGTGTGTGAGTGTGTGTGTGTGTGAGTGTGTGTGTGTGTGTACCTTTGTGGGGACCTATCAGACCCTCAGAGTGAGGACAGTTTGACTTGTGGGGACACTGTCTCACTGCACTGCACTGTCTCACTTCTACAACTAATTAAATATTGTCCTTGTTACGTTTTGGTGAAAATGATGAATAGATTGTTTATGAATTACATTTTACTGTTTCTTTCATCCTCAACATGTCTGCTGCGACATCAGTTACGTTTCTCAACAACACGTCCTCGTTATATTGATTGTTACATTTTCTATAAAACCTATTCACTGTTACAGACCAGCTGTATTTAATGTCATTTCAAGGATATTACAAAATATTACAAAAAAGGTCGTAATTGTACAAGTTAAAAAAGTCGTAATATTTCAAGAAAAATTATCATAATTAAAAAAAAAAATCATTATATTACAAGAGAAAGTTCTTTATTTTTCTGGTAAAAACTCAAAATATTTTTTCTCTTCCTGCAAAAGGACAAATATTTCTGATGGCACCTGAACTGGTTGAACTTATGTTTTTATCCTTTTAGCCTGTTTTAGCTCCTGGTTTTGGTTCAGTCTCTGTCCTCCACCTTTGCTTCAGCAGGAAACAGCTGACACACAGTTCTGTCCTTTAGTGCTTCTTTTCCATTCAGACTGAGAGTAGAGCAGCAAACATCTACACCTGAGATCTTCTCTGCAGGAAGAGTCATCACTCTAACCGCAGTGAGTAGAGACTCCTGTTTGTTTCTGCAGCTGAAACCAGTGAATCCAGTTACTGGACTGGTTTTAGAGTCCAGCTTCTTTTTGTCTTTGTTTCGCCTCGTAAACTTTCCTCACTTCACACACATGGTGTTTCTTTTTAAGCACAAACTATACATCTGACTTATTTAACAAAATATAAAACTACCAGGAAATAAAAATACAAGAAAAAATACACTAGTCCTAATAAATCTTTAGTGATAACGACTCAAGATTTTGTTCTAAAATATAGTTTTGCTTTTTATAAACACAAATCGAGCTGAGAAACATAGGAAATAAAACTTTAAGTCTATTTTTAATTTTTGCCCTTTTCATTTTAATTATTCACAGTTCTGAAAATGTCTCATGATGTACAGACACAAAGAACACGTGTGATCGGTGGATTCTTCTTCGTCTGTTCCCTGGCAGCTCTGGAGGAGCAGCGCCCCCGTCTGTTCACTGCTGTAAATACATGCAGCTCACTTCACTGTAACAAACACCTGGTACGAAACACTGAGTGAGATTTAACTGGTGTGTCTGAATTACGTTCATGTGGGACACTGATTGTAAAATCATCACAATGAGAGTTTCATATGTTTTACTTTTTTTAATTTTCAAAAAAAAAGACAAAAAGAAAAATTAACTGTAAATCCAAACATCCAAACATTTCAGCACCAAAGAAAAAAGACTTCTTCTCACTATCTGATGGATTTCTCTCACTGAGAAATCTTCACAACAAAATATTATAAGACTTTTATTCAACCCAATAATGAACCAATCAGAAACCTCCTGTGTTACAGTTCAAGATCAGTTAGAGACTGAAAACGTTTCAAAATTCATTTCTATTTTAGATCAACAAACTCTGAAATATACAGATCATCAACGAGAATATTGAAGCTGAATTAACATGAACAATCTTTAAAATACTGTGTCAATTCTGAACGTTTTAACTGTTGTCTCTGTGTTCGTCCCAGTTTCTGTAAACTGATAAGTTACTGATAATCAATGTAGTGTTGATCAGTTCTGACTAAACTTTAAAGGTGGAGAGTCTCCAAACCATCAACTTTAGCCTCTGAGAGACGAGGCTTCACATCTGTCCACAGTTTTCATTTGTGTCACTTCTTTCTCTCACATTTCTTTGTTTTAAAGTTCCAGTAAATTAAATATCTTTAGGTTTTGGATCATTTGATGACATGATTCATCGTTTTCTGCAGTTTTATGGACCAAATAATTAATCTATTCTTCAAGAAAATAACTGACAGAATAATTGATTATGAGAATAATCGTCAGTTGAAGCCCTAATTGTTTCCATTTGTGGCATCAGTATGAAACTCAGGCGTCACATAATGTATTTTAAATCAAACTCAAACGTCATGAAACTTTCAACAGGAACAAACTAAAAACTAAAACTATGAAAATAGAAACAGTTGAATATAACGACTGATATTACTGGGAGTAAAACAGTCTGAATTAAGACAAAGAAGAAGAAGAGACGTCGAGGCAGCGGTGTGAACAGAAACATGACAGCAGAGTGAACATAGAACCAGAGTGGACAGACAGGCAGCCGTGCGCTCACATGTTCCTGTCGACACGCGTGTTCACGCGTCGGTTCAGGCCGTGGTCAGGAGGTAGTAGGCGGCGGCCGACAGCAGCGCTCCCCCCAGCGGGACGAGGACAAAGGCGGCGCATCTCTTCCACCACCTCCCCGCCCTCCCCCGCTCGTCGTCCACCTCCTCCCTCCTCCCCCGCTTCTTACTCCTGCGACCTCCTCGCTGCTGACGCTTCTCGAACGCCTCCAGCTCCTCCTGAGGTCAGAGGAGACACGTCAACCACCGTCACTGAACACACTGTTCATAAAGTTTTATCCACTGATTCATAATACGCCTCATCAGGCTGACCACCTCCGTTTTAAATTAACTTATTAATGATTTTAGACATCCTGTAATTAAAAAAGATTTATAATATAAATAATATAAATTATTACAGCTGAAGGTCAAATTTGAGACTCATTAAAAATTTCAAATTAAAATACTGTGTCAATAATATGTTATTCAGGTTTACAGACGCAGTTATTACTACAATAGTGTGTGGTCATTAATCTAAGTTTAATTTTATTTATTAAATACTCAATTATTCAGGTTTGTTAATACAGCTATTACCATTCACATACTAATTCATTATGATTTGGTTCTGTATAAAACGTTACGTTGCCTGACATGTACCACAACTTTAATCTTTATTTACATGTTTATCTCCTTGTTTTTAATTGTAATGTTCATTTTTATTTATTTGATGTTGTTGATCAGTTGTTTAATTAAAAGACATTAAAGTTGCTGATTTCAGTTCTGTGTTGTTGAGACTTGCTCTGAACTCATCTTCATCTTCATCTTCATCATGTTAGTGACTGAATAATGTGATAAAGAAAGTTTCAGACTGACCTGAAGTTTCTTCTGCTCCTCCTCCTGAGCTGCTCTCTGCTCCGCCTCCTTCAGCTACACACACACACACACACACACACACACACACACACAGAGTTTGAGAGCTGGTGGGGGCGGGGTTAAAAACTTTGCTGTTGTAGACGCACAAAGCTTGGCTGCTAGGGCTGCTGGGAAAGCGGCGCCGTCTACTGTGACGTAATGACGTGGCTCTAAAGCCCGTGAAAAAATAAACCAGTTCTTAGAAGGTTCATGAGTTGAAGAACCAGGTCTGGGTCCATACTGGTGGGAAAGGAGTCAGTGTGTGTGTTTGTGTGTACCTGGCTGACTTTCCTCTGCTGGTCTCTGCAGGCTTCATCACACTGAACACACTGATCCGACAGTGAGCAAGGGAACTCCTAAACACACACACACACACACAGTTCACACATTAATACACACTCAGTGAGCAGTTTATTAGGTACCGTCAGTGTGTTTATGAAGCCTTAATGCATGTCAGACACAGCCCTGATAGTGTCTCACAGGTACAGGTACACACCTGCAGCTACCTGAGAGGCTCCACAGGAGCAGCTGGGGATCAGGGCAGCACAGTGGTGGATGAATTCTGATCATTCACTTTCCCCTCCCTGATTTAATCCTGCAGGTCTCCAGGCCACCACGGGGTCACACTGAGGTCACGCTGAGGTCACGGTTACAGGTGAGGTCCAAGTTGCACCTCACACTGTTTGTTTCTATGATTCCTGGTGGTTTCATCACCCTCAGTGTGTGTGTGTGTGAGTGTGTGTGTGTCTGTGTGTGTCTGTGTGTGTCTGTGTATGTGTGTGTCTGTGTGTCTGTGTATGTGTGTGTGTGTGTGTGTCTGTGTATGTGTGTGTGTGTGTGTGTGTCTGTGTATGTGTGTCTGTGTATGTGTGTGTCTGTGTGTGTCTGTGTACGTGTGTGTGTGTATGTGTGTGTGTGTACCTTCTTGATCCTCTTGCAGGGACAACGCAGCTTCACCTTCTGCTGACATTTCTCCTCGCACACGCCTGGATGACACACCTGCTTACAGCGATGACCGCAGTTCAGCTACACACACACACACACACACACACACACACACACACACACACACACACACACACACACACACACACACACACACACAGAGATCAATGAGAGGAAACATGAACCTGCACCTGATGTGCAGCTTCAGACAGGAACACTTCACTTCCTGTTCACTGCTCCATCAGTTAAAGACTGAACATCGTTTTATCAGAAACTACAGTCAAACTAGAACCGCCTCCTCGTGGTCGTATCCCTCCTCCACTCGGACTAGTTCCAGGTCCCTGTTCATCCAGTTGTTTCCTGACTGTAATTTGAAAACATCTGTTTCCTGTTGAAGCTCTTTAGTGAGAGTCGAATCAGTGTTGAACAGTTTCAGACGCTGCAGTGAGACGAGCTGATCAATCAGCTTCCCGCTCTGATAACTGTAGATAACTGTCTGTATCTATAGGTTATTGATTATCAGATGTCAATGGGGTTTCCATCAGCGTCGTACGTCACCTGCAGCGCCTGATGTTTATTAACCACAACAAAACATTCATGATAAAGAGACTTATAGAGCTTTATATAGCTGTATTGATTGTCACACTCACTCTCACACACTCACACACTCACACACACACTCACACACACACACACACCAGGGTCAGTGTCCAGTGAACTGGAGGAGGCGGGGATCGAACCAGCGACCAGTGAACTGAAACATCCCTTTAAACTGTGTGTGTGTATGTAAACATTCCAGTGCATGTGTTTGTTATTCCAAGTCTGTGTGTGTGTGTGAGTGTGAGCGAGTGTGTGTGTGTGAGTGTG